AGTCCACTCATGCCTGCAAATTACTTAAGTCTTTATATGGTCTCAAGCAAGCCTCCAGGCAGTGGAACTTGAAGTTAACCACAGCTTTGCTCTCTTTTGGCTTTTCACAGAGCCATTTCGATTACTCTTTATTCACTAAGAAGTATCAAGGAAAGATTATCATTCTTCTTGTCTATGTTGATGATTTGTTGATCACTGGGGATGATTTGGATATGATTCAGGATACTAAGTCCTGCTTACAAGCTAATTTCAAGATCAAGGATCTTGGCGAACTTCGATTCTTTCTAGGGATTGAGTTTGCTAGGAGCAAGGCAGGAATAGTTATGCACCAGCGTAAGTATGCTCTTGGCCTCATTGCTGATTTGGGGTTAGCTGGTGCCAAACCTACAGGTGCTCCTCTTGAATTACACTTGAAGCTCACTTCTGTCGAACTAGACAACCTTACTGATTCTTCTGATGATCCCCCACTTACGGATGTGAGTGCTTATCAAAGGCTCATTGGTAGATTACTGTATCTAACCCATACCAGACCTGATATTTCTTTCGCCATTCAAACATTGAGTCAGTTCATGCACGCACCCAAGTTATCCCACATGGTTGCTGCCACTAGAGTGGTTCGTTATATCAAACATTCTCCAGGACTTGGTGTGCTCCTTTCTTCAGATTGTGATCTCACTTTGTCTGCATTTTGTGATGCTGATTGGGCGTCATGTCCCAACACTCGTCGCTCTGTCACTGGTTACTTAGTTAAATTTGGTTCATCTCCTATTTCTTGGAAGTCAAAAAAACAGTCCACAGTCTCACGTAGCTCAGCCGAAACAGAGTATCGCAGCTTGGCCTCCACTGTGGCTGAACTCGTTTGGTTAATTGGTCTGTTTGCTGAGATTAATGTGGATATTTCTCTTCCCGTGCCCCTACACTGTGATAGTAAGTCAGCCATCCAAATTGCCTCTAATCCGGTGTTCCATGAGCGCACCAAGCACATCGACATTGACTGTCATTTTATCCGCGAGAAAGTGCAAGCTGGGTTGATTTCTCTTATTCATTTGGGTACTTCGGAGCAACAGGCTGATATACTCACCAAGGGTCTTCCTCACTGCCAGCATTCCTATCTTTTATCCAAGCTAGGGATGAAAAACATTTTCATTGCCCCTAGCTTGAGGGGGGGTGTTGAGGAATTGACAACTTGCATAGCAGTGCATTGAAGATAGTTGCTGTTACATTGCCTTTTATATTGTTTGTTAATTAGTTACTTAACAGAATCAGTTAGTTAGCTAAACAGCGTGAACTCATAGTTTGTTAGCTTTGATTATTTGTGTATAAATATCCCAGTGTACAGATGTAAACAATCAATCGAAAATATCTGAGATAGCCATCTAGAATCTTCTCTGTAATTCTTCATATTTCTTCATCTCTTCAAACAGTTTTCTACAGATTTCATGGTAGATCTCAATTTTTAACAATTGTGAGAAGAATGTTTCACTCTTAACCAGATGTTTCAGGTCGAGCTTTGAATATGAAAAAAATGATGTTGGGAGCATCACTCCAGAAAAATTATGCAGTGCGTGATTCTAATTTGAAGCTCCAATGCAACTAAATAATATATAGCTAACTCGAAGTCTGATAATTAACTAGTACTATCTAAATAATATTGCGCTAACTATCAACTCTGTTCCATCATGATAATTAGTTATTTCCTCCTATCCGAAATAAGTATTCACTCAACATTTTTATTTTGGTTTGAATATGTGTTCACTTATATAATCAAAAATTAATTATTTTCTTAATAATAAATTGAGTGAACTAACTTTAATTCTGATTTGGTTTAGTCTAAACCTTTTTTTTCTTTATTGTTACTTTATAAGCATCAAATGTCACGTCATGGATGACTAGAATATGAACATCTTTTAAAACTTAACTGAAAAGTATAAGTCTACCAATATTTCTCTTTCAGAAAACGGTTACACCAGCCAATCTTCAGCAGCTAATTTGAGTACAATTATTTTAACCACCTAATAATGACTTCAAGTTTAATTATTTATTATATTAGTTTTATTTTATGAATGTTAACTTGCTATTAATTTTTTAAGAATAAATCAATCAATGGAGTTTGAGATTCTAAAACAAGAATATTTCAAATTTGACTTTCTATTGGTCTACAATAAGAGATTTTTTAAGTTTTGACTTTTTTTATTTGGGTTTTTTTAATTAAAAAATAATAATTTAAAGCTACATATGTTGAGAGATAAAAGGTTCTCAGCCTCAAATAAAGTATTAATAATGTGTGTATTAAAACTTTTATGATGGCTAATGTTTCTTGTGGTTTTCGGTTTCGGACCTATTCCGAATAATTTTAAATATTAACCACTTGAGAAAGGGAATTATTTAATAAATGCATTGCAATATTCAACCTCTATAATTGCAATTTTCAACTACTTTTGGACTTTGGTGACGGGGCTAGCGCTCTAATCAAGTTTTATTCTATTAATTAAAATTGAAATATTGCTAAACCTTAATAAATATTTTTTTTTTGTTAATAACTCTAATGACTTATAGACTGATCATTTGGAGATGACGTCTGAGACTTGAGAGTGTGAAAGAGACTATGGATGGATGCTTAGGCTTTAGTTTATTAGCATCTAATTTTGAATTCGTCTCTGACTCGTTATAAAGCTGAAGATTGTAGATTTCAATTTTGTTCTTTCCTCTCATGTTATTATATTCTAATCTGCTTGTCACTTAGGCCCAGCACTTGACAATTTGTCAAACTTCTAACGCAAAATTGAATACATATAATAATTGATATTTTCACAATTTCTATTAGATGCCCTTTTCTTTTATAAAAGTGACGAAGTATACATTTAAAATATTTAAAGAACCACACTATTTTGATTCTCAAAAACAATACTATAACACCCTTTTTGGATCATAGGCCGGGGTTATATTAGAATCAATCAATGGACGTTATAACCTTTCATCGTTACATAGAAACACTGCATAAGTTTGCTTCTTTTGTTTTTGTTTTTTTATATACGTACTATCTTTAATAAAAACATCATCAAAGATGGTAGGAATGCGGTAAATACTCATTCATTCTTAATTAAATATTTTAGGTTTGAACCCTGAGTATGTATAGTCGTCTTTGATAGGGAGTGATTTAACCCATTGGAGACTTTTCGACGTGAATTGAATCAGTCAGCCGTCAAAACAGATATCAAACACAAATAGAAAAAAATATATTATTTTAAAGGTAAAATGACAAGGGCAACATTTTAAAAGAGTTAATATCTTAAAGGTCACTCAATTATGAGAATTTATGTTGTAAAGTCATTTAACTTTATTTTATATCAATAAAATCACTCAACTATGAGAATTTGTGTTGTAAAGTCATTAAACTTTATTTTGTATCAATAAAATCACTCAACTTATGACTTTTTTCTTCAAAAATCACTCAACCAAATCAAATAAACAAAATTAAGGAAAATTAATTTATTTTATCCCACCCACACACTCCTAAATTAAAATAACATATTTAGGTTGATCGGTAAGTAAATATTTTCAGCTAGCATTTTAGCATGAGATCTGCCATTTTTAGCTCTTTTCTATGATTAATAACTGTAGTTAAATGATACAAATTTATTTTTGAAACACGTATCAATTAAGTATCATACGGTATTGAATAAATTTTACAAATACCAAATGCGTGTGCAATATTTATTTCTTTTTCGTTGACTTTGAATTTGTTTTATCAATAAGTTATTTATTTGATATCATATTTTAGAATATTTTGACTTTACTGTGATATTTTTTGCCAGGCCAACTTTTTCTTTTTACTTTAGTAACAGTAATTTTTCTCTTATTTATAACATAAACATTTTGAGTTCAATTTCTTGCTAAAATGCGCTTTAAAAAATATTTAATCATCTATTTGAATTCATTATTTAATTTGTCAGTGAATTGGGTAAAAAAATGAAATTTATGTATTTGTGGGGTCCGTCTATAATATAAAAAATTAATTTATTTTGTTATATTAGATTTTTTAATGTTAAATTAGGACAATTGATTTTGTAAGATAAAAGCTCTAAGTTGAATGATTTTGTAAGATAAAAATTCTTAGAGTGACTTTACTGATACAAGACAAAATTTAATGACTTTACTACATAAATTTACATAGTTGAGTGATCCTTTGAGATATTAACTTTTAAAATCATGAATACGTAACATTCATACCTTTATCCAATATTTTATATATTTCATGGTATGTTCAACTTATTTGAATTTCTCCACATACGCACTTGCATTCATTTTATAATTCAAGTATACATTGTCCTTTATTTACACAACAAAAATACATATTTCTTTAATCATTTTTGCTTGAATTGGCAAATTTTCAATTCTCTATTTATATCTACTCCTACACTAAACACCATAAGCCATAACAATTTTTTTGCATCTTCAAAACCAAGAAGATCAAAAAGTCTTGTGTCCATTTTGTCCTTTTCAACAACACACAAAATCTTTGTTTGTTTATTTCTGGGGTTTCGATTTGTTTACATCGATTTGCTCAACAGGGTCAACTTCATCTTCATCGAGATGCTGACCATTAGAAAGAAAATGTGGATGTTTTCTTGCTAATTTTTGTTTTCCCCATAATTTGTTTAAAGTTCACATTTTATTTTTTTAATCTTTTTAGTTTACATCTTCTATGGCAGTTATGTTCTCAACTATCACAATTAACACTCAATCTGCTGCCAAGATTTTCTCAATTTTCAAGATTGTCCCTCGAATGATCTCTTTTTGGTTTGCTCCGACAACTCGCCCTCCGGGAGCTGACCCTTAGATGGTACTATCATATTTGTTTTTGAATCCCAGTGACTAAAAATCTTAGTTTTAATAACTTATGGTTTGTTGAATCTTGTTTGAAATGTGAAGTATTGTTACATATACCATCCATATACAATAATATACAAAAAAAAAAAAAAAAGGACTATTGTATTGGTGTGCGTTAATTTGTTAGAATGAACTGTGGTGAGTTTTGTGAGAATGAGGCAAAAGGGGTTGTTCAAAGTTTGGTGTTGGATAGTGAGAAAAGTGAATTAGTGAAGGCTAGTGGAAGAGTGGAGAAAAAAATTGGAAAATCAGAGGGGAAAACAATTGCTGCATTGAAGAGCCATAGCGAGGCAGAGAGGCGAAGAAGGCAGAGGATCAATGCTCATTTGTCCACACTCAGGAATCTTGTGCCATCTTCTGATAAAGTAAGTTCTCTCCATTTCTGTTGATAATGATGATTAAAGAATGATAGTACATAATTGAATTTTTAGATTACATGTCTGGTGCATCAATTGTATACGCTGTTCCATGTTATGATCTATATTGGTATTGATGTAGAAATGTCAGTACTATTGCAATTTGCAACTTGAATTATTGTTGTTAGGTCAGTTTTGTGTCACTTACTTGCACAAGTTTTTACCGAAGTTTGGATTGAAACAAACCTGGTTGTATTCCCTAACTCTCACAGATAAAGAAAAATAAGAAATGAATTTTCATTGAGTGCATAAATCTTGAAGGCTGAGTCTGTTTTCGGCTGCTAGATTAATGAAGAATTTCTCTAAATCTCGCCTTTTGATCTGTGATTCACCGGTCACTAGATCCAAGTTGACAATGTGTTTCTCGTCAGGGTGGAACTAGAGGGGCGGAAGGGGTTTTTTTTACTTCATAGATATAAAGTTAATTTTTTTTTTATGTACATATAGTAGAGTGAAAATTATGTATCCACCACTCTTTTTCAGTAATCAATAAATTAACCGGCTAACTGTCCAACTTGTTTCCATTATGTGCCTCTGACAGTTCTTGTTTCATTTACTTCTTTCTGTTTATTCCCCCTTTGTTCTGATAGAAGGAAATTCAGGGAGGCTATACTTCTATGTAGAATTGAACATGTATTAGTTTGATGTGGTCCTTTCATAATCAATTGTAGATCCTAGATTTTCAGGGGTTCGAAAAATATAAAGTGTCAGAAATTTAAACGTAAAACCTCAAAGATCATAATTAGGAATTGCTAGTTCTTGGAGTAACTTGTATTGATGGAAACATTAAAGATATAAAATTTGCACTATAAGTTCATCACCAATGTAAACTCTTTGGCGGTTTGAATTTTCATTTGATTAAGGCTTAACCTGTAGAGTGCAAAGTCGGCTGGTGACTTCTATCTCGTTATCTATGCTAACACGTTTTGATTTGTTCAATTAATTAGTTATATTATTAGCAAAAGTAGTTAGGACTGTGTCTCTTTGATAACTTTTTGACTTTGTTCACCAATTAATTAGTAATATTATTGCAGTTAGCACTTTGGTCCAAAAACTGACGACATGACCTTAACAACTATGCGTTAATCATTTGACTTAAAACACTTATTTTCTATTAAGATAGTCATTTTCATGTCATCTACCATGACCAACTTTTCTAGAAAGGACTAGCCTAGGGCTATTTGGCGGGAATACATCGACAACCCTTAAATTTGTCAATATATTTCAACTAGACACTTCTGACTTGAATTATAGAAATTTTTTTTGCAAGTGTGTCCATTAAGTATGTTACATCATTGATTATACACATCAGACTCAATTGAAACAGACTTTCATTTTCATGTCATGACAATGATTTACTTTGATTGAGCTTTAACTAATGGTTACTTCAGATGGACAAAGCAGCATTGTTAGCTGAAGTAGTATGTCAAGTAAAACAACTGAAGGAAACAGCAACTCATGTTAGTGAAAGGTTGTTCATACCATTGGACTCTGATGAAATAAAAGTTGAAATAATTGCTGAAAATGCAATAGATGGGACATGTATTTACAGGGCATCCATTTGTTGTGAATACAGGCCTCATCTTTTATCAGATTTAAAGGAAACTATCAATTCTCTTCATGTGAATTTAGTGAAGTCAGAAATATCAACGTTAGGAAGTCGTGTGAAGAACGTGTTTCTCTTCACGAATTTGATCGATGGAGGATGTGCCAATATTGAGGCTGGGGAAATTTTCTTATCATCTGTTCGACAGGCGTTTAGTTCTATACTGGATAAAGTTTCTGCATTTCCAGAATATTCAGCCTATCCGAACAAGAGGCAACGTATTTCTTGCTTCGATTCTTCAAGCTTATTATTCTGATGACGATTATCGCCATTTTATTAGTATCATTCAACTGCTTGTATGTAGTATATTCTCTGCTATCATCAAATAGTGGTTGATTTGGATTGGAAATTTCATGTTATATTGTACTGCCCCTCAGTGGCCTGATGACTATATGTAAATAGTTTGTTACCTATTATAGTACACTCTTTAATTTGTGTATGCAGAAAGGCACATTTCTTAAATGGAGGGTGACTGTGAATGCGTGTATTGTAATTGCTTTAAGAAAATGTAATTTTTTTTATGCATAAAGATCATTCAAATTACCATATAACAAAAAAAGTATAAGAAATGTTGAAAGAATTGAATGAAGCTCTTATGTTTAGGAACGTTGTTAGTTATGGGTCCTCGGGTTTCTTCACTTTCTTGGGCTTGAAACAAGTTCACTCAAATTGAAACGAGGGGAAGTTACGAATATATATTGTTCAGCCGCCTAGTTTATCAACATGAACAAAATATATCATGTATATGTTATGTATAAGCATGTATATTATATGTATAATATAAATATATTTAGTAAACTAGTTGGACCAAGGGTTTAGGGCGGTAATTATTTCAGAAACGAACATAAATAACCGTCCACCAAAATAATAGTAGCCAATAAGTATATAAAAATTTTTATATTAATATATACGTAAAAAAAAGTTATTATCTATTAGCTAATAAAAAAAGTTATGATCCTTCTAAATAGAGGTGTGTACAGTCCAGAAAAACAAAGAACTCTCTATACCTTTCAGTGCTTTTCAACAGAAATTTTCACGGCAAGTCTCTTTAATTAGGACCAGTATTTAATTTAATTTTTGACCTTGTTAAAAAAATTATGAAGTAATGTTCCGCCAAAAAAAGTTCTTGGGTCTAAAGTCGCCATCTTGATTAGCTCAGCTCCACGTTTTGTTGGTTCTACAATTATGTCAGGGTCGTTTGGTTGACAACAAGTTATTTCGGAATAAGTTATCATGTGTTAAGTTATTCTACCATGTATATGAGAAAACTTATCTTCTCATCACTAAGGTATAAATGATGGGATAAATAATTACACGACTGCCTAATCCAACCAAACGGAAAATCATTTATCCTTGAGATTATTGTACCGTATACCTCACACCCGCGACTCCTCAGTGTTTAGGGTATTAGTGTGTACAACTTAAATTGTGAATAGTAGGGCCATTGAAAATATATTCAAAAATTCTTTTGTCATGCTGAGACAAACAATGGAAAATTAAAAGGGGGTATGATTAAAGGTAGGAGTCAAAAGGAAAAGAAATTATGAAACTTTTGAACTAATACGGTACACAACATAATGCAACAAAAGTTTTAACGTCAAAATCGATCAAATGTTTTCATGACTTTTTCATAAAGGAAAAGAAGATCTCTAACTTTAGCCATCAGCTACTTCTCTGTTTATTAATACTTCCTAGAACGTCTCGATTATCAATAATTACAATGTATTCCAACTTCTACAAAGAGTATTTTTGGTCTGTTTGCTAATTAAATAGCTTATTGCTAAAGTTACAAAAAGTTGTACCCTACAATCCATTATTAAAATACCTATTCCCTGTGGAAGGACTTGGGCCAATTAGATATATACAATCATACAAACTAGAAATATACTTTTTGTCAGTGACATAGAGTTCAATCTAAAATATTTAAAAGATATATAAAAAATTTACGGTAAAAAATAGATTTGTTTGAATTTCGAAATTCAAAACGTGTCACATAAATTGAGACGGAAAAAATATTAATTAGTGAAATTACACAACTAGGATAAGAGATCCCTCCTCTCTGAGAGACAAAAACTCACCTTTGGGCTTTGGCGTAAACTATCCATAGATATAGCTTTTGCTCTAATACATGGCGAAGCTACAAACTTTGTCAAGGGTATTCGAAACTTTAATATATATCTCTAAAAAAATATTTTTGATAATATTAATTTATATATGCATAGTATAATATTCTAATGAAAGATGTTTAGTGACTATGCCCTCGAATCAGGACCGACTCAACAAGATTGGGGGCCTAAAGTCAAACCTTAAAGAGGTGGCCCTAATATTTTTTCTTAATTCTTTTTCTTTGAAAAAATCATCATATATATTTTAATTTAAAATCTACTTTTCTAACCTTGTTAGATGCGATTCATTAATTATTATTTTATAATCAATTTGTTCAATTAGTAATTGAATAAATTTTAATAATAACTAAAACAAGGATATATATATACTTATGAACTAAGAATATCAACAATAACAAATTTTCAAGAAAAAATTATAAAATGAAATTAGAATAATAAAACATGGCTCACGAATTTGATAAGTTGATATGCATAACAATATCGAAATAGTGTTGCGTTCCTTCAATATAAAGATTGCTTGTTGCACTTGAGATTTTGAAGAAGACACCCAAAAGTAATTTTTTTTCTTTTATAACTTGTAAGCAAAAGTAAATAAAAAAAAATTGTAGGAGAGAGTTCAATATTGAGAATAAAAAAAATGAGTATAAGGTAAATAATACATAGGATCAAATTTTTAGGAGATAAATAAGGAAACCTAATTTTCATGTAAGGAAATTAATCCCAAAAAATGTTCGATTCCGTTAAAATAGTGGGAAAACTAACCGTCATTTTTTTTTTATACTTTCTTACATGTTTTTAAAAAAAAATAAAAGTACATATAATTTTTTTTAATAATATGTACAAGTATTTTAAGAAAATAAAATGGGAGCTCCCAAAAATATGAGGCCCAAGCAATAGTTTTAGTGGCCTAGTCATTAAGATGACCCTGCCTCGAATCAATATAGCTATGCTACAATACGTGTATGTGATTTTCACCGGCCAACAAAAAAAAAAAGACAGCTTCGGAAGTATTTTACGAACTTCCCAAACTGTCCCAAAAGAGCCAACATCCATTTATTTTTTTACATTTTTACAAAAATTATAAAAGTATGTATGTCAGCATGTGAGTTATAAATTGTTAATTACTTAAATTAATGCAGGCGCATATCGACCAAAGTCATGGACTGGCGGTCAATTAAGCAAAAAGGAGAATCGTGAGGTCTCAAATTCTCATTTGCGAATGGAGATAACTTTTTAAGCAACACATTTACATACGATATAAAATATGGATCACTAAGCTTTTCAAACGTTAGGTATATATATTGGTTCAGATTAAGGAAACAAGAAGTAAAATGGCCGCCATTCTTTGAACTTGGGTTTCACCATTAAAAATAAAGATAAAGGAATTACATTTTCTTTTTAACAAATTAGGATATATAGTTTGTGGTGGAACACCTCATATAACCACCTAACTTTTCGTCTACCATATATAAAAAAAATGGGGAACCACCAAGAAGGAGCCAAAAAAGAAGAAGAGGAACGTACATCAGACGATTCATGCATTATTTAATGAGTCAGCAGTCAAAAACACATCTAAAGTATTTTGATTTTTTTTAGTTTCACATATGAATTATAAGGTGTGCGAGGTTTCTACATAAACTATCACCATATATTTATCGAAGCACGTCTCAATTATCCGTTGTTCTCTTTACTTACTTGAAATATCCCCCTCGTTCATGTAGAAAAAGAGAACAACTGATAGTTAAAGTATGTTTCTATAAACATTGTGTGACAGTTCAAATAAAAAAATTTGCATACCTAATAATTCAGATATGAATAAAAAAACTAAAATACTTTAGATGGGTAGTATGTTTTTGACCTTATTTATTTGATCTCAATGCCTCCTTCACACAATATAATCATACCAAACTAAACTTGCACATGTGCTACAATTAATTTTGATTCCGACTATATATTCATATATGTCGATAGCTAAATTTTTTGGTGGAATCCAACGTGGGAATGCCACCCCAGACCATGACACTACTCTTTATAATGCAAATTCCACTCCCAAACTTTTATTAAATTAAAAAAGTTTTATATCTACTTCTCTTCTTTCTCTTTTCTTATTGGTGATCGAACAATTTCCAAGGACCAACCACCACACGCTTCTATGGTAAAAATTTCCTTTCCAACTAAGTGCATCATACGTACATCATAAATTCAGATAGTAATGAATAAATATAATCAGATAGAATACGTAATTCATGAAAGAGAACTTACTTATTTTTCATGTAGTGGAAGCTGTAGGATGAACTGCGGTTGAAATTTACTCGTCCATGGTGGTTGTCACAATATTTTGTAATAACCTCTATATCACAGCTCAAATCCTAATTGATTGAGGAGAGAATAAAACATAACATTACTATATTCTTTGTACATATTCCGTTGTGTTTTCTAAAAATAAAAAATAAAAATTACACAACATATATGTGTTTATATAGAAATTATTAATTAGGACTAACGTAATTACCCTTATAAGCCTTAAAACACCCCTTGTGGGTGAGCCTGAATTTTTTACACTATCCTACATTGAAATTAATGGTATCATGATTACCAAAATACCAAACCAATACTTAATAATAAAGTGAGCATATTAGGTGGTAGAATTAAGGATAATCCAGAGAAGCTGATATGTAGCTTACCATATATACTCTTACTCGATAAGCTAGCTTGGTCCAGCTCATATACTTTAATTGTTGAAGCTCCAATCTATTTTATAAGTATATGAGTAATTAATTTATCCCTAAGTAGATCGATCACATATTCAATACCTTTATACTTTCAGTAAGATTTTGCTATAGGGTTAGTTAACTTAATTAATTCTTAACACCCCACCCCTTCCGTACTGGACAGTTTTCAATAACAACTAAAGAATCAGACAAGATAGAGAGGGGAAAAAATCAAACATTTTCATTTAATTTCCCTTAAATTGTTTATTTTGCTCATGCAAGAAAACCTTTATTACTATACTTTTAATAAGTTAGGTACCACCATATCAGTAAGGGTAACTAAATTGGTGCAATATGTGATATCCCATAATTAATTGAGGCTAGAGATCGATTCTCCTCATCGTCTCCTTTCTAAGTCGAGCTCGGTACGTCTATGACTTGATCGACTTTCTTTAGTGAC